ACCTCCATGATCCATGCGGCTGCCCCCCATTTTCTGTGGCCGTTTGCGGTCTGGTACGCCGCGCATCAGCTCAACCTCTGGCCCCGTGTCTCCTTGCCGGAGACCTCGCCCACACTGCTGTGGACGGGGAAGGTTGGCGATGCGTCGCGTTTCCGGGTCTGGGGTGCTCGTGCCTTTGTCCGCGATACCACCGCGGACAAGCTCTCCGCCCGCGCTGTTCCCTGTGTCTTCCTTGGCTTTGTCCCTGACGCGCCTGGTTGGCAATTTTACCACCCCACCTTGCGCCGTGTCTTTGCGTCTCAGGACGTCACGTTCGACGAGTCGGTTCCCTTTTACCGTCTCTTCCCCTACCGCACTGCCTCGCTCCCCCCCCCGCCGCTCTTCCTTGCTCCAGGTGCTCCCCAGGTAGACCCCCTCCCCGCTCCCGGTCCTGCTCCTTCAGGTGTTTCTCAGGTAGACCCTCCTCCCTTGACTGCGCCGGTTGAGGTCACTGGTGACTCAGGTCCTCCTGCGAGTGGTCCTGCTCGGGGTGCTGAGCCTGGGGGTGCGGAGCCTGGGGGTGCTGAGTCTGGGGGTACTGAGCCTGAGGGTGCGGAGCTTGAGGGTGTAGAGCCTGGTGGTGCTGAGCCTGCGTGTGAGGGGTCTGGGGGTGCTGAGCTTGGCGGTACTGACGCTGGAGGTTCTGGAGCTACTGAGGGTGCTGGCGCTGGAGGTTCAGGAGCTGCTGGAGGGCCTAGTCCTGGTGGCGCTGGAGCTGGAGGTCCTGGAGCTGTTGAGGGTGCTCGCGCTGGAGGTTCTGGAGTCGCTGGAGGTACTGGTGCTGAGGGTACTGACACCGGAGGTTCTGGAGCCGTTGGGGGTGCGGGCGCTGAGGGTTCTGAGTCTGCTGTTGCGCGGTCTCCTTGGAGTGGCCGCCTTCGTCCCCGTGTGCCTCTCACCCCACAGCAGCTGCAGGACTGGTACGGTCGCCGTCAGCGTCGCGCTGCTGGAGCTCGGAGTCGTGCTGGTCCTTTGTCTACTGGAGGTGCTGGAGTTGCTGGTTCTGGAGGGGCTCGTGCTGGAGACACTGAGGCTGGAGACCCTGGGACTGGAGGTGCTGGCTCTGGGGGTGCTGCTGCTGGAGACGCTGAGGTTGGAGACCCTGGAGCTGGAGGTGCTGGTTCTGGGGGTGCTACTGCTGGAGACCCTGCGGTTGGAGACCCTGGGACTGGAGGTGCTGGTTCTGGGGGTGCTGCTGCTGGAGACACAGAGGTTGGAGACCCTGGGACTCGAGGTGTCGGCTCTGGGCCTGGAGCTTCTGGAGCTGCTGGAGGTACTGGAGCTGCTGGAGGTACTGGAGCTGCTGGAGGCACTGGAGCTGCTGGAGCTGCTGGTTCTGGTGCAGCTGCGCCGACACGACTGTTCTTCGCTCCGCCGTCTCCGTCGTCTCTGCCGCCGTCTGCCTCTGTTCTTCGTCAGGTTCTTACTCTTCCGTCGTCTACTGGTCTTCCGTTACAGACTGGCTCGCCGCTGCCTGCTCCTTCTCCTTACGCTGAGCTGACTGGTAGTCCTGCTGTGCGTCGTGAGCCTGCGTCGCGTCCTGTCTCGCCTGCTCGTCCTGGTCGTACCGGTCCTCGTGTTCCTCGTTCGCGTCCGCCGGCTGTCCCCAGCGCGCACCTCGTAGTCCGTCGTCCTTCCTCTGTTCCGCAGCCTGTTCCTCTGCCGTCTCCTCCTGCGTCCTCTTTGCCTGACGTTCCGGATTCTGCGTCTGACCGGTTTCGTGCTCAGCACCCTACTGTCACGCGTCTACTAGCCACAGTTGTCACTGACCCGTCGTTTGAGTCTGCTGCTGCGTCTGCTCTTGTCGCTGAGCTTGTTGACTTTGCTGCTGCCTGTCGTCTAGACTTCACTGCCAGTCTTGTTACTGAGTCTGAGTCTGTCTGTCCTCCGTCCGTCGGGGGTGAGTGTGCTCTTAGCACGGACGTCCTTGAGGACAGGCAGGAGGAGTTCCAGTGCCTTGCTGCTGCTTTACCTCATCTTGTGTCCTCGCTACTTGCCCCTGAGGGAGACCCGGATGCACCAGACATCCCGACTCCGCGCTCTTACGCAGAGGCGATAGAGGGTCCCTACTCCTCTCAGTGGCAGGCAGCCATGGACGCAGAGATGGCTTCCTGGAAGTCCACAGGCACCTACGTTGACGAGGTTCCCCCACCTGGGGCGAACATCGTCAGTGGCATGTGGATTTTCAGGGTGAAGCGGCCGCCGGGTTCTCCGCCTGTCTTCAAGGCGCGTTACGTGGCTCGAGGCTTCAGTCAGCGAGAGGGAGTTGACTTCTTCCAGACCTTCTCCCCCACTCCGAAGATGACCACTCTTCGGGTGCTGCTGCACGTTGCTGCTCACCGTGACTACGAGCTTCACTCTCTTGACTTCAGCACAGCTTTCCTGCAGGGCAGCCTGCACGAGGAGATCTGGCTGCGCCGCCCCCCGGGCTTCACTGGGTCGTTCCCTCCTGGTACCCAGTGGAGCCTCCGGCGGCCGGTCTACGGTCTCCGCCAGGCGCCACGTGAGTGGCACGACACACTGAGGACTACGCTTGCGGCTCTTGGGTTTGCGCCTTCTACTGCTGACCCGTCGCTGTTTCTGCGCACCGACACTTCCCTGCCGCCGTTCTACATCCTCGTGTATGTCGACGACTTGGTTTTTGCCACTGCTGACACTGAGGCTCTCACCCACGTGAAGTCGGAGCTGCAGAAGAGACACACGTGCACAGACTTGGGTGAGCTGCGCAGCTACCTTGGCTTGCAGATCACCCGAGACAGAGCACGTCGCACCATCACCTTGACTCAGTCACACATGGTGCAGCAGGTCCTTCAGCGCTTCGGCTTCACCTGGTCTTCAGCACAGGCCACTCCTCTGGCTACAGGTCACACGCTCTCAGCTCCACCTTCGGACGAGTCCGTAGAGCCGAGTGGTCCTTACCCAGAGCTAGTCGGCTGCCTCATGTACCTGATGACTTGCACTCGACCTGACCTCGCGTACCCTCTTGGTCTCCTGGCTCGCTACGTGGCTCCTGGTCGGCACCGACCTGAGCACATGGCTGCTGCTAAGAGGGTACTGCATTACTTGTGCAGCACATCAGGCATGGGGCTAGTGCTTGGAGGGACGAGCCCAGCTGTCCTCACTGGGCACTCAGACGCTTCTTGGGTTGACGACCTGGCTACTCAGCGGTCGTCACAGGGTTACACCTTCAGCCTTGGCTCTGGTTCAGTTTCGTGGCGTTCTACACGCTCGACTTCAGTTCTCGGCTCCAGTTGTGAGGCTGAGATCTACGCCACCGCCATGGCTGCACAGGAGTTACGCTGGCTCACCTACCTGCTGACTGACTTGGGAGAGCAGCCTCGTTCTCCTCCAGTGCTGTACGTTGACAACAAGGCCGCCATTGCCTTGTGTGAGGAGCACAGACTGGAGCACAGAACGAAGCACATTGCTCTGCGGTACTTCCTGGCTCGAGAGTTGCAGCAGCGAGGCCAGCTTCGTCTTCGCCACGTGGCCACTCGGGCCAACACTGCTGACATATTCACCAAGGCACTTCCGTCTGGTGATCATCAGCGCTTTTGTACTCTGTTAGGCCTTGTGCCTACGTTTCCACACTTGCTGTTGTCTCTGCTTGTACTGTGATCTGTACATATATATATATATATATATATATATATATATATATATATATATATATATATATATATATATATATATATATATATATATATGCATGCTGGCTCTTGCTAGGTAGCCATCACTGTACTGTTATTGCTGCATATATATATACTTCTGCATGTGAACTGGCCCAGTGGCCCTTTGCTTGTGCTCAGAATGCGTGGTGACGTTGTGATCCACCCTGAGCTTGTTTTGCTTCTCTTGACTGGTCGTGTGACCCCTTGTTCTCCCCCACTTTGCCTATGGGGGTGTGTCAAACTATATGTGCTGCATATTGTCTAGGCTGTAGTGGGGTAGCCCATATGGGGTACAACCTAGTTAGGGTTTACTACTTGTACTCCTGCATCCTGTTAGTTCACCCATTCCTGCTGCTAGATTCTAACACACAATACACAATTTTAGAAAGTGTTACACACTTTCAAAAATTTACATATTGTGAAGGCTTGCTATTTGTCTTTGCAAATGCAACGTCTCATTTCAACTGGGTTTTCTGAGACATGGTGAGTGCTTGTTGGCGGTGTCGAGTAAGGGCACGCTCATGCTGCGAGGGGGACGGAACGTGCGCCTGATCGTGAAGGCGCCGCGACGCAGCAAGGAGGTGATCGTGGGAGATGGTGACATAAAGGTCCTTCGCGGTTTCGCTCCGCCATCGCCCCAGTCTTTTGAAAAGGCGGTCCGGGATGCCCGTACTCGCTGCAACTGTTGCTGCCCCTTTGCGGAATGAATGGGTGCCGAGGTTTGTAGGGTCGATGCCGGCTGCTTGGAATGCCTGCAAGCACCACGTGCGGACAGTGGGGTATGATGGGGCGGTATCCTGCGAGGATGGCGGGAAGTTGCGTCGAAAAATACGAATTAACGGGCCTTTGGTCTTTGGCCCGTACTGTGCCAGCTTGATGAAGTGCCTGGTGCACCGCACGGGGCAGAATGGTCCGTCAGTCGCGGCAACGGGGACCCATACGCCCTTGCTCTCCTGATCGGTTTTGGAGTGCGGAATTAGGAGCCACATTGCGAGGGAAGAGAGGAGAGTGAAGGAGAGAAGAGAGAGTCAGGAGAGAGCGAGAAGGAGGTGGTTGGCGGAGGAAGGTGTATGAGACGTGAGGGAAGAGCGGGGAAGGCGGAGGTAAATGATGAAGGAGGAGGGAGGGGGGGAGGAGAGAATGGAGGAGGGAGGGGAGGTTGCGCCACCAGAGAGGAGGAGGAGGCAGTGGCATTGATTGCTGAAGTGCTGAGAGAGAAATTCGGGCCTCAGATCGTGAGAGAGGAGGAGGAGGAGGCGGCGGCGGGGTCTACAGACGGAAGGATCACAGATGAGGAGGAAGGGAAGGGAGCAGAAGAAGCGGAAGGGGATGTGGAGCAAGTGGAATTAGAAATTCCGGAAGAAGGGGACGAAGCAGAAGTGCAGGAGAACTTTCCTGGAACCACCTCTCGTTCAAGAAAGGCACGTGCTACCACTCTCCCCTCCCTCCTCTCCCTCTACCGCTTCTTCTCCTCCCACCTCGGCATCTCCTCCCCTTCCACTGTTGCTTCCCTCCTCACCAATCGCCCTGCGCTCCTTCGCTCACTTCCTCCCTACTGTCCTCACTTACCTCCCTACTGTCCTCACTTACCTCCCTACTGTCCTCACTTACCTCCCTACTGTCCTCACTTACCTCCCTACTGTCCTCACTTACCTCCCTACTGTCCTCACTTACCTCCCTACTGTCCTCACTTACCTCCCTACTGTCCTCACTTACCTCCCTACTGTCCTCACTTACCTCCCTACTGTCCTCACTTACCTCCCTACTGTCCTCACTTACCTCCCTACTGTCCTCACTTACCTCCCTACTGTCCTCACTTACCTCCCTACTGTCCTCACTTACCTCCCTACTGTCCTCACTTACCTCCCTACTGTCCTCACTTACCTCCCTACTGTCCTCACTTACCTCCCTACTGTCCTCACTTACCTCCCTACTGTCCTCACTTACCTCCCTACTGTCCTCACTTACCTCCCTACTGTCCTCACTTACCTCCCTACTGTCCTCACTTACCTCCCTACTGTCCTCACTTACCTCCCTACTGTCCTCACTTACCTCCCTACTGTCCTCACTTACCTCCCTACTGTCCTCACTTACCTCCCTACTGTCCTCACTTACCTCCCTACTGTCCTCACTTACCTCCCTACTGTCCTCACTTACCTCCCTACTGTCCTCACTTACCTCCCTACTGTCCTCACTTACCTCCCTACTGTCCTCACTTACCTCCCTACTGTCCTCACTTACCTCCCTACTGTCCTCACTTACCTCCCTACTGTCCTCACTTACCTCCCTACTGTCCTCACTTACCTCCCTACTGTCCTCACTTACCTCCCTACTGTCCTCACTTACCTCCCTACTGTCCTCACTTACCTCCCTACTGTCCTCACTTACCTCCCTACTGTCCTCACTTACCTCCCTACTGTCCTCACTTACCTCCCTACTGTCCTCACTTACCTCCCTACTGTCCTCACTTACCTCCCTACTGTCCTCACTTACCTCCCTACTGTCCTCACTTACCTCCCTACTGTCCTCACTTACCTCCCTACTGTCCTCACTTACCTCCCTACTGTCCTCACTTACCTCCCTACTGTCCTCACTTACCTCCCTACTGTCCTCACTTACCTCCCTACTGTCCTCACTTACCTCCCTACTGTCCTCACTTACCTCCCTACTGTCCTCACTTACCTCCCTACTGTCCTCACTTACCTCCCTACTGTCCTCACTTACCTCCCTACTGTCCTCACTTACCTCCCTACTGTCCTCACTTACCTCCCTACTGTCCTCACTTACCTCCCTACTGTCCTCACTTACCTCCCTACTGTCCTCACTTACCTCCCTACTGTCCTCACTTACCTCCCTACTGTCCTCACTTACCTCCCTACTGTCCTCACTTACCTCCCTCCGTTCCTCCTCCAGGGGATTGAACACAACCACTCTCCTTGCTCCCGCCCCTTCTTCCCCCTCTACACCACTCCCCACCACTCTCCGCTCCCAAGGACCATCATGCACCGACCGCCACCGCTCTGCTTCGAGAGGTGCGGGCTGTTGGGAAGTGGAGGAGTTGAGAGCGGTGGCGGTCAGTGCAGAAGGGTTGGGGGCCTTGAGCAGAAGGGCAGCGACTGCAGCACACATGAAGTCCTGCGATAGGTGGGAGGGGGAGAGAGAGAGGATCGAGGAGAGATGAGAGAGGAAGGAGATGAATGAGCGAGGGAGTGGGGAGGAAGGGCAGCAACAGCAGCACACATGAAGTCCTGTGATAGGTGAGAGGGGAGGAAGAAGAACAAAGGAGAGAGGGGAGAGAAAAGAGGAGATGAGGGAACAGGGAGGGAAGGAAGGAGGGGATGGGAGGGGCCACACTCAATCCTGCTCCAGTGCTGCTGGAAACAGCATTCTTGCACACATGAATTTCAGACAGCATTGAAACATTTAACCGACCATGCTGACCTGTGTTGACCTGCGTTGACTCACACTGAGGTCTGTCAGCACGTGGTGCATCCGTAGTAGGCTATAGTCCTTCACCACGTGGTGCTTCTCAATATCTTACTCACACCGCTGACCGGCATTAACCTGCATTGACCTGCATTGACTCACACTGAGGTCGGTCAGTGCGTGGTGCATCCTGAGGCTGTAGTCCTTCACCACGTGGTGCTTCGCCGAGCCTGTGATGCCGTCGTGGTGTTGAAACAGCGCCAGGTTGCGCCGTGCTAGCACCAGTCGCTCTGCAAAACTGAAATGGGGCCAAGGAGAAGAAACGGGAGGGGATGGGGAGGGGGTGGTTGGGGGGAGGGAGTGT